TTAAATGAAGCTGCGATTATTTAAATCGCAGCTTCATTTCCCTCTGCTGATCAGCCTAATCTACATGGCTCCATCGATGGAGCCATGTAGTTTAGAGACACCCAAAGATGGGTAGAAATGGTGTTTGTTCATCAGAAACTGGAAATGGGGATGGATCACCTGATGTTCACCTGTTCTATTCATTCCTTCTGGGGCACCTGGAATTGGCCACTGGCAGGAGACAGGATCCTGGGCTAGATGGACCTTTGGTCTGAACCAGCCTTGTTCTTCTCCTGTTCAGAGAGCAGCAAGGGAACAGGATGGCAGCTCTGGGATGAGAGGCAGCTTTAATTCCCCTCTCAGAGTGCCCTCCTTTGTGGCTCTAAGTCACTTGGCCAGGTCCGAGCACTGGGTCAGTCATCCCAGCATATGAATCTGAAATGTGCGCCTCCCCTGTCCCCCTGCACGTCTGCTGTGCGCCTAGTGCGCGTTCTTTTCTCTAGGCCTCGGAGGAGGTTTGACAGGCAGCGCAGAGAACAGAGGAGGCTTTATACCACAGGCGCTCCAAGCCGCTTGTGTTCCCCTTTCATCCCATGCTGCCGGGTTTCAATGGGGGTGAAATCCTGCCCTGCTAACCCCCGCGCATTCACACAAACACCGATTCTGCACAGGGGTTCCCGAGACACTCTGGCTCAGGCGGGAGAGGGGAGGCACAATAGAACAATTGTTGGAGAGCTGGAGGAGGTGTTGGCGGCGGGGAGCGGGACTCCCACAGAACAGGCCATGGAGACAAATGCACGAGGCGGGGGGAGGAGATGCCGAGGGCTCCTGTTACAGGCAGCGCTGCGGCTGCGACCCACAGCCGCAATGGCTAAAGAAAGCCCAATTCACAGGGAAAATAATTCAGAGTTTTAGCAAAAATGGGAGGAATGGCAGGTGGTGGGGGAAGGAAAGGAGAACACGGGGAAATTGGAGACACCCAGCCCCCTCCCCCGCTTAGTCTCTGCTGGGAAAGGCACCAGCCAGCACCTTCCAGGACTGGCATCAAAGCCAAAAAGCAGCCAATGCCTGGAATGGAAGTAGGTTAAGCAACTGCCCCGGGGCCTCTACTGATGGGGCCTTATTTGCTGAAGAGTGGTGCTTGAAGACAGAGAGCCAAAGGGAGCAGGACATGGAGGGCCTGTTTTCCCAGTGCTCCCAAGGAGAGGGGCAGGGTTTTAAGGCTTTGTCTACACTGCAGCTGGACTTGCACTAGCTCTGCTCGGCGCGGGCAGCGGCCCAGATTAACCATCGGAGCTCAGATCCAGGGGGATCAGGCAAGCTAGAATTCTGGGGGCTAACCTGAGCCACCAACCCTGCTGCTCCTCTTGACATGCTAATGCAAATGGAACTGGAGTGAGTCTGTCTACAAAGGCTGGGGAGCCAGCTCCCAGCTGAAACACAAACACTGCCAGTTGAGATAGCTCATCTTAAGACTCATGCCCACCCATAATGGGCCCAAACTCCACTCCCAGACAGCCTTACATGCAGATCCAAGCTTTGTGCTGCCCTGCTCCCCCCGTCAAAAAAAGGGGGGGGACACTACCCTAGGCATGAACCAAAACCCCAGAGCAGCCAACATTCCAGATCTATAAACAGGCAAGTGGGCTGGAAAATGAAGAGAGGGGCACATCTCTGAACTCCATCACCATGGACTGGGCTAGGGGAAGGGATTTGGGAGGGTCTGGATTGAGGTGGATGATGATCTATATCCTATCAGGAAAGACAATAGAGACAAGCGATCCAAACAGGGATCCCAAGACCCTCAATTCTGAGGACGCTTAGATCCCAATGTTGTAGCTTTCTACTCTCTTGCCTAATCAATCCGGGCATTTCAGAGGGGGAGCCGTGTTAGCCTGGAACTGAAAAATCTTAAAAACACACAACGAATGGTCCTGCAGCACCTTAGGGTATGTCTACACTACTCTCCTATTTCGAAATAGGAGGGTAATGTAGGCATACCGCACTTGCAAATGAAGCCCGGGATTTGAATTTCCCGGGCTTCATTTGCATAAGCCGGGCGCCGCCATTTTTAAATCCCGGCTGGTTCGAACCCCGTGCAGCGCGGCTACACGCGGCACGAACTAGGTAGTTGGAACTAGGCTTCCTAGTTCAAACTACCGTTACTCCTCATTCCATTCCATGAGGAGTAACGGTAGTTACTAGGTAGGAAGCCTAGTTCGAACTACCTAGTTCGTGCCGCGTGTAGCCGCGCGGCACGGGGTTCGAACCAGCCGGGATTTAAAAATGGCGGCGCCCAGCTTATGCAAATGAAGCCCGGGAAATTCAAATCCCAGGCTTCATTTGCAAGTGCGGTATGCCTACATTACCCTCCTATTTCGAAATAGGAGGGTAGTGTAGACATACCCTTAGAGACTAACAAAATATGTAGATGGTATCATGAGCTTTCTTGGCACAACCCACTTCTTCAGATGAAGCTAAGCGTGTATACGGCCACTATCATTGTATTAGTAGTGGGGATGCTAAAATGCATTTAAGTAACTGTGTAACCACTGAAAAATTCAGCAGTTACACACGGGGCAGTGGGCGGCCACCCTGGGAGCCAGTGCACGCAGGGAACCAGCTTTTAAGATATCCACCCATGCTCAGGCTCATCAGTTAGGCATGCACACAGTTAGATGTTCACATCCCTAATTAGTAGAGCCCTGCAAATATCTGCTTTATATGCTCAGAGATCAGTGCAGATATCGGCAGCTCATTTTTGCAGATACAAGTTTATATGCATGCAGGGCTCTATGTATTTGCTCAGATCTTTTCCTTTATCTCCCATAGGAGCACCTTGCCTGCACTGGAATAGTCTGTGCTAATTTTCAAGCCATGGTGCAGCCACGGCTAGCAGGGCAGCTGCACTGTGGCTGGAAAAGAGGAACTGCATGTTTGAGCACAGCGCTACCCTTAGAAGAGTAACTGTTCTGCCACACTGGTGTGGGAGGTGCCTGTGGAGGGACCATCGGAGGGGGGTGCGAATGTGTGTGTGTGTGTCAGTGAGAGGGAGGACTCATTGTGGGATAAGTCACAGTGATGGTTAATACTGCGACCGGACTGCGAGGAGCCGGTTCTCTCAGTCCATTCACTGTTATCTCTTCTGGAAGCAAGGTCTCCTCTGGCTGGTCCCAGCTCTGGGGGAAAGGCTCCCTTGGTGCACAGAGTACAGGTGAAGGCAACAGGCAGTCTCACCTTTGAACGCCGCAAGCTTCTCCTCCAGATCTTCTTCATCGCTGAACTTGGGGTCACAGAGAAATTCCTAATCGGGACAAAAAAAAGTCCCAAAGGTTAAAAACACACAGCAAAGTGCCTCAAACCTCCTCCAGCAAGTCCGGGGGGGAGAGGTGAGAAGGGGAGGGGGATGACTCTATAAATACCTGAGAGGGAAATTAACTGCTAAAAGGCCAAAACAGATGCTGTTTACAAAGCTGAGCAAAATCAGTGCCAGGAGAGATCTAAAGGGTCTTTTCCGTCTCCCCACCCCCATCCTCTGCAGTTAAAATCCTAGGGAGCCAAGAGGAAATTACACTACCCGGAGGTTTATTAATGACAACACCTTCATTACACTAGCAGCTATGGGGCTGTTCTAGCGGCAGTGCTGCAGGATTCCCGTCAGTTTTGTCCGTGGACACTATCCGTGTTCCTGGCTTAGGCACAGACAGTTTGGGGGGGGCAGATGGGAGACTCCAACCCCCTCACCTCGCTCTCCTGAGGTCAAGGCACACACCCTACTCATACCTTAGATCCAGCATCATGCTCTCAGGGCTTTGAAGGGAGTGGTGGACATTGGATACTGAGTTTCAGAGGACCTTTGCCACCCGAAGCGGGAGGCAGCTAGTGACTCTGATGTGCTAAGGCAGGAAACAGGTTCTCCTGAGAGCTGGAGGAACAGCGGGCCAGTCAGTTCCATACACCCACTTGCAGAGTTCTCCAGTCTCCACTGCCATCACCTCAAGCAGTATTATTCAAGTGCCATCGCACTGCAAGGGGAACAGCCTGGAGCACACAGCAGGATCCGGACAGCAAGCCCCACCATGGTGCCCCTCCAGCAAACCTCCGCTGGCAACGTACACTCTGCAGCTGCAAACTGCATGGTCTTCCTCTTCATTTCTCCCACGTCCACCCAACCTCCAGGAACGTAGTCACTTGGTCCATGGTCAGCATTCTTTGCTGCAGCGATCATTCACAGCTGCTGTTTATTTTCTGTTTGCATGGGGCAAGAGCTCTCCAAGGGATTGCGGGGCAGAGAGCCGAGGCTGCTGCACACTCTATGTGTGCCTTGCAGACCCAGACTGTGCAGCCATGAATAGGAGGCCCCTGGCCTTAAGGTATTGGGACGCTCAGTCATCACCAGCAGTCACAGAGACGTGCCTGTTTCCTACCACATCCCGTACTGCTAACAACGTAGGAACATGGCAGCCGGACCCCTGAGATGGCTCAGAGAGTCTCAGCCTACAGCTCAGTATCAGCAGCTTCCAGCCTGGAGATCTTAGGGCTTTAAGTAAAGTACATTTGACAGCTATTTCAGAAGAGAGAAAACAACCCGTCAGCCACTGCCAAAGCAATGGCCAGTATGGATGGTGCGAGGAGCAGGGTGTGACCCTTTCCAGGGTACCCCGGGTTGAGAGGCACCTCGCTACCACCGCCAGCAGTCAGCCCCACAGCTGCACCAGCCACAGGCAACACTCCCCTCTAGGCCGTCACAGGCCCTGCTGCCTCTCAACAGGTTAGCGATAGGCACAGCCCAACGCCTGAGCCCACCGAGCAACTCCCTGAAGTGTCCAGGCCTCGACCCGCTGGACACACATCCCATGAAACCCCTGCCATTTGGTGGTACATGTGTCCCTGGCACCACTGCCGATGGCAACATTTGCAAATACTCCGGCACTCATGGTGAGCTCCCTTTGGCCCCCAAACTCACTGTGGCTCCAGGAACCGGGAGCCACGGTGAGAATCCTGCAGCTCCTGGCCCCCCGCAGGCCAGGAAACCCCCACAAATGCACGGAACCACAAATAGCGATTCCGCAAAGCCTGAGGGTCTCCTGCATTCACAGATTCGTTGCTTCCCAAGGAACAGTGCACCCCAGCTTCTCCGTTACACCTCACACCGCACTTAGGTACGTGTATAGTGAAATCAAGTCTATTTAACCGAGTGCAGAGTTCCAGGGACAGCAAGCAGAATCCTGGACACAGACACATGACACATGAACCGAAAGGAGAACATGCATCGACAACCTAGACTTGCTGCACTAGTTACTGTCGGGTCTTCTGGAGCAAGTTCCACTCCAAATCCTTTCTACAGATGTAATAGTGTATTCAATTAACTGATAAGCAAAAGCTTATTGGTTAGTTCCAGGGCTGGACAAACAATACACTCTACTTGCCACGGGCGAGTAGATTGTAACCCGGAAGAACCGGGTTCGGGCAATCTGCACATGTGCAGATCACCAGACAGCGTGGCTGACGAGCGGGGCTCGCCACGGTTCGCTGAGCCCTGGTTAGTTCTATAGACTACATGCATTTCCCCCCTCCCCTCACCCTCCAGTAAACTTTTTTAGCGGCTGGCCAGCAGCCTGGCTCAGTCCTGCCTTGTGCCAGGTCTGGGACTTACCCCCACTGCAGCTCTGCATTTAAAGTGTATTAGGAGCCAGGTGGGCAAGTAGCCCAGCTCAGTTCTGGCTGATGCCCAGTCCGGGAACTTAGACTCACCCCACCCCCCGCTGAACAGGCCTTAGTCACCCAGTATCAGAGGCAGCAGTGCGGGGGAGGGAGGCAGGCAACTCCTCTGTGCTCCCTACAAGCACTGGCTCCCACCTTCACCTCCCTTCCCACCACGCGCTGTGGCCTCTGATACAGAGGCAGCAGCACAAAATGGCAAGGGGCTTTTCAGGAGTGGGGCCAGAGCACACTTGCAGCTGGCCCTGCCCTTGGGTACTATAGAATAGTTGAATAACAATTAAGAATTCACGAGGTTAATCGACTATTCAATTAACCGATATTTAACGTCCCTAGTCCTTTCTGTGTTTTACAGCTTGGCTACGTCTACACTGGCATGATTTTCCGGAAATGCTTATAACGGAAAAGTTTTCCGTTATAAGCATTTTTGGAAAAAGAGCGTCTACATTGGCAGGATGCTTTTCCAGAAAAGCACTTTTTCCGGAAAAGCGTCCGTGGCCAATCTAGATGCGCTTTTCCGCAAAAAAGCCCCGATCGTCATTTTCGCGATCGGGGCTTTTTTGTGGAAAAGACTACTGTGCTGTCTACACTGGCCCCTTTCCAGAACAGTTTTTCTGGAAAAAGACTTTTGCCCGAACGGGAACAGCATAGTTTTTCCGGAAAAGCACTGATGATTTTACATTAGATCGTCATTGCTTTTCCGGAAATTCAAGGGGCCAGTGTAGACAGCTGACAAGTTATTCCGGAAAAGCGGCTGATTTTCAGGAATAAGTGGCCAGTGTAGACACAGCCCTTAGGTTTGGCTGTGATCTTCCATTCATGTGACAAAGCATATGGTCTGCTTGCATCCCTCCCCCCGGAAATATCCAGGGTCTGCCTTGAGCCCCCTTATAGCCTAGCAGCCCATAGGGTTTGCTTGTAAGCAGGGCTCCCTTCTGCTTTTCTCTCCTGAAGATATTGCAACTTCTGAATTAGCACATGGCTCAGCATGCAAACAAGCATGCAAACAAGCACATGGCTCAGCAAGCAAACACAGCAAGACATACACCACACAGGTGACCTGTCACCTCCTGTCATAGGAACGTTAGACGTTTGTCCCCTACTGGTCACCTGAACTTAAGATCATAACTCTGAGTGTAGAAATGTAACTCCTTCAACGTTACCTGCCTGCACTTTTCCCAGTGATTACAGTGACTGTCGACTCTCCAGCCCAGTGCATGCCTGTAAAACTCTATGCACCCTCTGCCAAGCGGTCCCTGGGTCATACCAGGGAAACCCCCAATGCACTACAGGCTCCTCCCCAGCACAGAACTGACCAAGAGCCCATCCAAATGACTGAATTGCTGTCATGGTTGAAACCCACCTCCCTTCCCTCCTGCCATACTTATCTCCTCCCTCTCAGTGCCCACCTCACTGCAGCTCTGTACAAACACCTCCCGGGGTCTTATCTACAGCACAGGGCTGGGCCGGATCAGCCCACTAGGGCTGAACAAGAACACCTAGCTCTTACCCAGCGCTCCTACTCTGCGCCTCTCCAATCAATATCTCTCCGCGCGTCAGTATCGTCATCCACGCCTGAGGAGTGGGAAACAGAGATACAGAGAGATGAAGTCTGGATCCAAATCTGCATTCTGCTACACAGGCCCTTCTCTACTAGGGTCCTTCTCAACTCATGCCAGTTAATTAGCTATTGCTTAATACGCCTCTCGCAGGTGCTCGGATTTCATGGCGAGGAGCAAGGTGTAAGGATGTGAACGACTAGTCAACTATCCAATAAGCAAGTGCTTATTGGATGGTTGATACGCTAATGGACTAGTCACTCCCCCCACTTGGCTGCCTCTATCAGAAAGAGGCAGCAAGGAGGGGAGGGGGGAGTGGCAGGGGTGCTTCAAAGCAGCAGCACCACGTGGAGCCCGAGGTCTAAGACTTCGAAACACCATGTCCCCAGCTGAGCCCGGGCTCCATGTGGCAGACGTTTTGAAACGCCAGGGGAGCACAGAGCCAGCAGGGGACTGTCACTACACTTCAAAGGCGGAGGCGCCTTTATCGACTAATCGAATAGTCAATGTAAATTGCATCAACTATTCGATTAGCCAAGTCATCTAAATTTAACATCCCTAATGACGAGCATCTGTTCTCATGACGGCTCACCAATCTCCGGTCTCAGCAGCACACCCAGACCCTTCCCCGCACTCACATAAGCCAGGCTGGTTCCCTCTGAGCCACACGTGAACAGAAATACTGATCCAACTAAGAATATCACCCTCCAGCTCAACTCAATGGGCTCTGCTCAGCCCTGGAACCCAGCTGAAAGGGCAAGAGGAGTTTGGGGCGGCAGACTGCCATTACCCCAGGTCCCCAGGGTTACGTAGACAAGAGTCTTGGGGAGTTGTGATGGACACAAAGGGTCAGGCCATTAGTTCAGGGATGGGCAAAAGGGCCTCCGCGGGCCAGATCCAACCCGCCAAGTGGGCTGATCCGGCCCATGGGGGTACTCCCGCTCCCCTGCCCCCAGGCCAACCAGGGCCTACGGACAGGGGAGTGCATGGTGCTCAGAGTCAGTCCTGGTGGTTGATTCTAAGTGCTGCATGCTGTAGGGCAAGGAGCAAGAGACTTCATGGCCCCCCCATCCTCAGGCCAATCAGGGATGGGGAGAGTGCAAAGTTTCCTCCCACCACCAGGGGCACGGGCACCTATAGGGAACCACCAGCTGGTCAGAACAGCTGGTGGTTCTCTGGAGGGAAGGGAAGACTTCACACACTCCCCCACTTACAGACCAATCAGGGTCTGTGGGCAGGAAAACAAGGAAGTGTCCTGGCCCCGCCCCTTCCACCTGAGCCCCCGCCCCTTCCACCTGAGCCCTCACCTCTTCATGGGCAGCCCAGGACCATTTCAAAAATTTCTGAAGTGGCTCCTGGTCAAAGAGGATTGCCTACTCTGCATTAGCTTCATCTCTCTTCCAATGCTCCAGCAGCACAATATCCCCATTGAGAGAGATGTGTTATCTGGCCCCCTCTACGCAGAGCACATGGGCAATGGAGGCAGACTTACAGGCTGCAGAGTGAACCTGTATTGGGAGGGAGGGTTATTATTGGTATAAACAATCACAAGAGAGAGTGGAGGAGCCAGTAGAGAACCAGGGCCAGACTTCTCCCTGCCCCACAACCCCCCTGCTGGGCCATGCGGAGCAGAGAGTATATTGTTCTTCCACAGAGGAGGGTGGGGAGAAAGAAGAGGCATTTAGGATGGGAGGACACCAGCTTCTGCCACCCCAGGTGACAGCCCAGAGGTAACTCATCTTTCCGGGTACGTCTAGACTACAGGCTTTTGTCG